AAATTTTTAAAAATAAAAAAAATCATTATTATTTTTTATTCAATAACGATTAAAAACAATTATTCAAAAACAAATTTCAGAAATAATTAATATATATATATATTTTTTTTTTACTAAATAATATTGAACTAAAATTAATAATAAGATAACAATTGAAAACATTACAAAATTTTCATAATAAATTTATATTTAAAACGTTTATAGTTTATATTTGAGTTAATTGTTAAATTGAATTAGTTTGCGGTTATTTATTTATTGCGGTAGTTAAAACACTTAACGCCTATAAAAAAAAAATAAAGATAATTTTATGACGTCAAAATCGCGTTAAGCTAATGCATTAAGCACTTTTTTATTTAAAACAAGGCCTGATATATATATATATATATATATATATATATATATATATATATATATATATATATATATATATATATATACATTATATATATATATATATCTGGCCATATGATGAAGCGGGAGCAATCGTTCTGTGCACATGAAATAAAATAAAAAATTAACTATAGTGATTCTTTAAAATAAACGCATTTTGTGTAAATTAATAAATTATGTTATACTTAATTTTTTGTTATGTAGCATGCATTTTTTATGATGAGTTTAAATGTTTTTTATATATATAATACTTTTTAATAATTTAAATAAAACTTGTTTATTCATTAAACAAACATTAGAAGTAATTTGTGAAAGCGTTTTGTATAACTTTAATAAAACATTTCAAAAGATAAGTTTAAAGTAATTTATTTTAAATGCAATTAAAAATGTAACAAAGAAATATTTGCTTCGAGTTTGAGCTTCAGGTTTTTTTAGTATTTAAAGAAACTTTTCTTTTTTATATATAATTTTCAACCCATAATAGTGAATCTAAAGAACACTACTTTGGAGTCTTTAGATCAATTTCCCTCATCGGCATTAACATGAATTTAGTTAAAATCTTTTGAAAAAGTTCCTTATTTTACTACTGATCCTAGTTCTAATTGGTTCTGACGTATATTAATTATATATAGTTGTCAAAACACAATATTTCTATTAATTTTCACAAAAAATACTAGAATTCCGACCAAGAAAAAGCTTATAATTGTGGAAAATTCCCAATAAACGATCAGAACAGATCATTTTGTTAAACTATAATGTTCAATTTACCTCAAAAATGTATTAATTTAAAATCTTATTCAAATTTGGACAAGTAATTGTGATTTTAAGATGATTAAAAAAAAAAAATTTTTTGACAACTTGACCAACAGTTGCGGTCAAGTTGTCAAAAAATAAAATCATTTGAGTGGTCAGCAATAGTGCTTGATTGCACCTGATTCCTATCCAAGCCTATATATATATTAGGTCTTCCCAAGAAAGGCATGCGATTGCACACCTTGTACGTCTATGCTTAAAGTAATTTTTCTAGACAACTTGACCACATTTTTATATAGTAAGCGTTTTAAGAATTGGCGGTAAAATCAAGTTATAAGGAACTACAGAGAATAAAACAACAATACTCGAAGAAAAGAAACAAATAATATACGAAATAGAAAATCTAAATAAAATAAACTATTTGAAAATAAATAAAAAAATAAAAATTTTATCAAAAAATAATGTGCCTAAATATTTTACTGCTGTTGTTGTTTGCTTTTTTTTTAGGGCAGCTGTAGGACTTTTCTTAGTCAATATATTAATTAAACACTTTCTTATCTGCGCTAGAATTATGGACAATTTCTAAATAATTTTTTTTTCGCATGTTTTTGCTAAATTTTTTTTTTTTTTTTAAACAAGTTTTTCATGTAAAAAAGTAAATTCATAAATACTCATATTCAAATATAAAATATTTGGTTGTTTTCACTACTTTTCACTCCATTTATTTCAATGGTCTTTAGTTCGATTCTCCAATATGGTTGTGCATTTAAACCTGATAGTTTATTTCCTGATGAACAATTGTTATTGACGCTTCTTCAAAAGTTTGTAGAACTTAGTTGACTTTAGTATTATTTATGCATTGGTAACTTACTGAACTTTTTTAACAAAGAATTTAGAAGCCTATTTGAAACTTTTTTTAACTTTTTAAAAACATTTTTTCAAATGAGCAATCGTTATTTTCATTATCTCTAGTTCTGATTATTACATTCCATCATTGTTGGAATTAAGGCAGTATAAAGGAAACAATTCCAGGCAAGCATGAAATGTGTTAAATACATTTATAAAAGAAACCAATCTATTCTTCTATTCAATTTCTTCCGTTATTACAAAGTTTATCAATTTACTGCTACGTAATAAAAGGAGAGCTTCGAAAATAAAAAATCAGATTAGAGTTGGATGTGAGTGAGAAAAATGAGTACAAAACTTATTACAAAATCATTAAAAACTGTTCAATCATGGAAATACAATTGATCAAGAAGTTATAAAAGTTAACGATGTAGACTTATTTCTTAGCCAGAGAATTCATTCATTGCATTGCCAAGGCAATAAAGGAGGAAGTAGCTTTAATTATTGCCGACAAATTTTTTGTTGCATTATGTAACATGACTGCTTTTGGTGGATTTGACACTAACTCCTTAAAAATGGTGTTGGACAGTTTTACATTGAAAATACCATCACTAAATATAAAATTTCACTCTCACAAAATACTGTAGAAAGTTGGTATCGGCAACAGCTGATGGAGCAAATGTAAATATAGGTATCTGCAGTGGAGCTTTAATGCAATTAAAAAATATACAATCACGGTTAGTTAACATACACTGTGTTAATCACAGATTAAAAATAGCAATAAAAGATGCTATCAAGCAGTTTAAACACTTTACGAATTGCAATAATTTTTATATAAGTCTATTTTATATGTTAAAAAAATCAGGTAAGCTGAAGGAGTCATGTAAACATGCTGCCGCTGCACAACATACCCAGTATTATAGCCTAAATAAAATTCAAGGAACTTGATTTGCATCGCATTGTGTTAAAGGTTACGCCAACCTAATACATAACTGGCCAGCATATCTAGTAACTTTATCAAATGCATTAGAGAACAATGAATTGTATTGTAAGGAAACAAGAGCAAAAATGGAGGGGCTTTAAAGGAAATTTAAAAACTATACCTTCTTATGCAAAATTGGTGTTTATCTGGGTTAGCTTAATGCAATGAGTCCCTTGTCTCTTTTTTTTTGAGAGAAATGTTTCGCTAGTTGATAAGCTAAGTTCCCTGACAATAACTCAGTTGACTGCACTGGCTGTAGAGGAAGCATAGTGTAGCTCCACAAGAAAACTTGTCATTAAAGAAAAAAGTGGTCTTGTTCCCCTTGAATATATAATTGCTGGTGACGAAAGAAAGAAAACCAAAAAAAAGGAATGTATTGACATCAAATTTGATAGCATGATAAATGCAAAATACGAGGATTTTGAAAAAGCTTTGGAGCTAAGAAAACATTGCATAAACGTATTGATACCTTTAATTAATAGTCGATTCGCAACATTCAGAGATAATCATGTGTTCATGTGTTCATATCCATGACATGGCTGGATCCTAAATATTGGACAGAAGACCAAGATAATGGTTTGAAAAATATAAAGTATCTGATGGAAGATTTTTGCAAACCACTTGAAAATGCAAACTTTCAGGAAGCAATAGTTTTCATAGAATGGAAGTCTTTACAATTAGTGGTAAGATTATTTTATAAAAAATCACCATGCTTAGAAATTTGGGAAAAACTGTTCACATATTAAAAAAAAAAGATGTTTTAGAACACTTACAACAATCCTTACAGATTAGCAACTTAGTATGAAACACAGTACCTTGGAACAATACATGTTGATTTCTGGAAATAGCCATGTATGGACGAATAACCAACGTAATGAAATATTAAAAAAAGCGGTAATAAATAAAAAACGTTGTTTAATAGAAAATTGTTATATTTCCTATTAAATCAAAAGTATTGAACCAAGATATCAAATCTATGCCAGTTGAAAGTGAAACAAGTTTTTCCAAAAATTAACTGCCTGGTAGAGATAAACAATATCAGGAATCCAAGGACAGTGACAACAGTTCCAATGACGATAGTATGTCAGGGTCAGATGAACAAGAAAGTGACTACGTGGACAATGATGAATTTACTAATGATAACAGCCATTATAACTAAATAATTTAGATTCATTAGTTTAATTCATTGTTATTTTTAATGAGCTTTTAGTATTTTTTACATTATAATCTTGTTACATTTAAAAAATCAATTAATATATTTTACAAATAAATAGCAATTTATTTTCTCATCTTTCTACCATATAAGTATTATATAAGTACTACTATACTACACTAATAAGTACTACTTACTACACAAGTAATGAGAAAAAACAGAAAATATATTTGAAACATTTTGAAAAGTAAAAAGACGTGAAAACAAATAAACATAAGAAAAATAAACAAAATTTCTCATAGTTCCAGTGTATATAAATAATTATGAAAAAAATCATAAACAAATTGCATATCAAAACATTTAATTGTTGTTAAATTGTTATAAAGAACTTTTTTTTTCCCTCAGTTGGTATCAAATTTGGTAGCTAAAAATAACAACAACCCTAAAAAATAAAAATAATAAAAAATTGTATATTTTATGAAGAAATACTTTTTTTTTAATTATTATTTTTCTAAGTTAGTTTAATTAAGATTTCATAATACGTTACAATTTTGTTTCCTTTATTTAGTATTGTTTTTTTTTCTCATTTGATAAGTTAGGCTTTTTGCCAGAAAATATTGAAACACTTTAAAAGTTAAAAGATGCGAACTGCCATGGTCAGTGTGTCTTAAAAAATTACTTTAGGCATGGACATACAAACCATGCGACCGCACGCCTTTCCTGGGAAGGAATGATATATATATATATATATATATATATATATATATATATATATATATATATATATATATATATATATATATATATACATATATATATATATATATATGTATATATATATATATATATATATATATATATATATATATATATATATATATATATATATATATATATATATATATATATATATATATATATATATATATATATATATATATACATATAACAATCTAAAAATAGTTAAAAAAAGTGGCTTACTGTTCGCAGCTCAGATAATCTGTCTTTCATCTTCGATTATGTAAAAAATTATTCTTCAAAATGAGGTATCTTTTAAAGTAATTTCATCATTTGGATTACTTTCACAGATTTCAGAATTATTTTAAAAACCATGTAAAAGATAAATATTTAGCACTGAAATAAGAAAATATTATCAAACTTTTAGTAAATATAGAAGCTTTTCCAACCACTAACACTTATATTAAATTTGTTCTATTATATAAAAAAATTTTAATAAAACTTAAACATAAATATAAAATAAAAATAACAAACAAATTTAAATAAAATATAAACTAATTAATAAGCAACACTCTGTTTACCAAAAGTGAGGTTTCACGCTATTATTACAACATTAAAACAGCAAGGTTAAAAAAACAGAAAACAACCTTTTTAAAATTACTATTTTCCTTTATTTTTTCTTTTAATTTAAATTCCAGAGGAACAAAAAAATAAAAAAAAAACAACAAATAAACAGAACTTAATTTTTGTTCATGCATAAAGATTTTAATTAAAAACAGAAAACATCACAATTAAATGTCGACAAAGTTTAACAATGAGGTTACTACTTTTAAAGAAGACAAAGATATTTGGAGGAAAGCTCCATAATAAAACTAATATCACATATTAAATTGGATGTAGTGTTGTTAGTTGATGTAGTGTTATTGGTTTATGTAGTAATCTTGGTTGATGTAGTGTTCTTGGTTGATGTAGTGTTCTTGGTTGATGTAGTGTTCTTGGTTGATGTAGTGTTCTTGGTTGATAAAACATCTAATGCAATATAAAACAACATAAAAAAGGTTTTCAAATATCTATGGAAAATGATTTGGTTGTAACTACACAGAATGGATCTTGAGTTAACAACTATTATATCTAATGATTAATATTCCTTTAATTGTGGCCTGCATTTTGAAGTTTGTCAAGAAGTGACAAACTATGTTGGTAAAGATACAAAATTTAAATTAATATTAAAAATAAAGATATTATCAACTACTATGATTTACTTAAAAACTCTTGCAACCACATCAAATAAATCACATGCAAAAACTCTTGCGACCACATCAAATAAATCACTTTGTCAACTGTTTAAACGTTGAAATTAGAATTTAAGGTAGAATTAAGATATACCTAATCTTAGAAACATTGAAGCCTGTAAAAATAGCTCTTGACAATCTTAACAGAAAAGATGTAACTCTGATAAACACTTACACAATAATAGTTACATTTAAGAATAAAAATATAAATAAGAATACAAGATAATAAAAATTGATAGAGATTATAGAACTCAACAATTGATCATCAGTATATTAATCTGTTGTGTGTAATTAAGTCTCTTCAACACTTATCAAATAGTCTATTCTAAAAACTGTATAAAAACAAGCTGCTTTGTATGTTTGCAAGAGAAAAAACTAACTAAAGTTTTAAAATTTAAAAAGTGGATTTAAGTTAATTATAGAAATATTTTTCATGTTTCTATAATCAACTTAACTATAGTCAGTTTTTAACAACAATCTTCATAGATTAATTACAAAAAATAAATTATGTTGCTTAACTTATAACAGCTTCTGCTAACATTTCAAAATTTTTACAGTTTCTGTTAACACAGGTTGCTCAACTTTTAACAGCTTCTGTATCTTTGAATAAAAAAGGTGTAAATGATATAATGCTCATATGCACTTTAATTGATATAATGCTCATATGAACAGTAAAAGGTGCAAAATGTATCAATAATCCAGCCTTCAAATGTATGTTTTAGAATGCTACAAAAAGCATATGAATTTACAATAGCTTTGGCTATTTGGTTGTGCTATAAAAAACAACTGCAATTCATAACATCAAAATAAAAATCATTTCTTAACAACGTGTTTACTATCACTTTTGTAATGTAAAGTAATGACTAGGTAAAAAAGGCTCCTTTTTTTTTCCAGTTTACTACTATGTTGATATTATTTCCAGTCTACTACTCTGTTGATATTATTTCCAGCCAACTACTCTGTTGATATTATTTTGCAATCACTGGAGATCAAAAGATTTTTAGATAATTGCAAACAGTTTAATATTGTTAGCAAAAAATTGCCGAAAAATAATAATTAATAAGATCAGGCATATTGCTGATAAAAATATTAGACACAATCCAACACATAACTAAGTAGCAATTAAATTATTAGGCCAGTCAAATGCTGATTTTCCAAGTACAACCTGCTGTTTGGAATTATAGAGGGTTATCCACTTGTTAATACACTAATTGAAACCATAAGTACAAATTTTATAGAGAAAAAAAGAATAATTGACAAAATAATTGAATCAAATGCTTCAGAAAATCAACTAAAACAAATTCTTATTGGCATCAGTAATATTATAAACTACTTAACATTTATAATTATATACTATAGCTAGGGTATTAAGTCGTAAAATATATGTATATATATTTTAAAACCAGATATTATGTATTTAAGTATTTATTATGTATGTATACAATGTACCTAAGGATACAATTTCCTAATACATACAACAGATAATATGTATCTAAAGACACAATATCCTAATATATTTTGTGCATTTCAATTCTTACATGGTACACTTAAATTTTTCAGAGAGAGAAGAAAAATAAAGAATAATGAAAAAATAGATTCCTGCCATAACTCAAAACTATAGTTTTGTCAGTACTGAAAAAGTCAGATGAGATTAGGATAAGCAAAAAGAGTTATAAAGAATATATATATATACAAAGAAAATCAATGAGAAAAAAATTGTATACTCTATAGTAGATATATATCTAACTAAAATAAACTTTATTTTCCACACACACTCACACATGTATATACATACAATAATACATTGTGTTTGTCATATATAGATATATGTGAGTATACATAAACGTAAACAACTGAGGTTGATATTTGACCTGGGCCGGGGCCGGGTTTGATAAAATACAGCCGGAGCTGGGGCCGGGTTTGTGACCGGGGCTGCATAAACATTTATACATTCTAAAGTACTTTTTTTTTAATTTGTTTGATTTTATATACATATGCATTAATAAACATCATTAAAATCAACATGATCATCATCAATATATATATGTATATCAGGCTTGGTCGGGAAGCGGGAGCGATCGCTCTCGAATACTGACCACGGAAATTATATTTAGTTGCGAAAAACTGGCCAGGTTTTTTAGTAGTTTTGAGAACATTTAAGTTTATTTACGAAACAAAAAATTTTTGTTTTACAGACATACATGGAAACATAAAAAACTTATATGTTCTCAAAACATCTTGGTGCGAAAGAATAAAAAGAATATTCGTGAACACTAAAATCCCACCAAATTAACGAACAAACTAATTCTATTGGTTCAAAAAATACGCTGACTTAAAATAAAATTGTGGAGCATTTTGTTGAAATGTTTTAGAAATTATATTATTCACGATTTGTTACGTTTTCAGATTTCTAGCATAAATCGTTTTAAGAATATATATAAATTGTTTACAAAAATAAATGTTTTAAATATAAATTAATTAAATTGTCAAAATTTTAAAAGTTTATTATAAATTATAGATTTTATTTGTACATTCTTATTTTTTATTTAAAAAGTATGTATTCTTTATGTAAATGTAATTTTGTTGATCTGTTTTTTACCGTAATGTATCTTTTAAAGCAATTTTTATGATTTAAACAAAGACTTACAAAAATAATTGCGTTTTCAATAAAGTTATAATCGTTAAAGTTAATAAAACTAATCATGTAACACATATAAGAAGTTACTGGTTACTAATCACAAACAACGCATACAAAGTAACTCGCGGATGAACAAGCACCGCGCCTGAGGTCACGACAGAACACAAATATATATAGCAAATAATTAGATATAAAAAAAAGTTTCTAGATATTGGTTTACTAACTCTTATTATTTTCGCTTCATTTGCCATTCTTAAAAACTCGTTACACTTTTTTCTGCTTTAATTACAAATTAAATTACGAACTAATTAAAAAGCCCACTCACTAAACATCATCAGCGATATTGTGAAGCAGTTTTGCTTCCTCGTCATATTTTTAACCTTTTTAGTTGATTTCTATCTTGTTAATATAATGTCTATAGTAATTCAATGATTTAATTATTTCATTTGTTTATCTTACTAAGAAGAATTGCTTCAAATATGTTAAACTTTTCAAACTACGCGAAACATAAAATAGGTATTAATAAAAAATAGTTTTTTTTATCTATAAAATAATTTTGCTTAAATAAAACTAAAACTTGCAAACTTTGTTTAATAAAGAATATTTGTTTCCTTTTTAAACAATCTTAAAATGTTACTTTAGATAAAAAACATTGCTTAATTTTATTAAAATTTTTTTGTAATTGTCTCTCATCGGTCCAATAAATCTTGAGCGCTTTTTTTTTTTTGCTTGTTAAAATGTTCTCAAAACGACTAAAAAATCTGGCCAGCTTTTCGCAACTAAATATTATTTACGTGGTCAGCAATCGAGAGCGATCGCTCCCGCTTCCCGACCAAGCCTGATATATATATATATATATATATATATATATATATATATATATATATTTTATATATATATATATTTATATATATATTTTTATATATATACATATATATATATATTTATATATATATATATATTTATATATATATTTATATAAATATATATATATATATATATATATATATATATATATATATATATATATATATATATATATATATATATATATATATATATATATATATATATATATATATATATATATATGTATGGATATATACACATATATATATATATATATATATATATATATATATATATATATATATATATATATATATATATATAATATGTATATAGATATATACTGTAAATATATACAT